TGATGGAATAATGTGTTTTGGACTAAATGATTTTACTGGATTGGATCATCTGGACCTTTGACAACGTAACAAGACCATTTTTGTTGAAATTGAATCGATCTACTATGAGTTACTATGAGGCTTCAAATGTGAGTCGCATCAATTTTGATTGTACTGGTTGTGGTATGACAGAGGCACAGATTGTACCCAGTAAGGCTGACCCCAAATAGTCGAAGATTCGATGCTTCCCGCTACTTGAAATAGACCTGCGAGGACGTGCATGTAGTTGTCGGCAGCACGGCAAAAAATCTGCACAAGACCTGTGAATGGCGAGAGGCAGAGAGAGAGAGAGATCTCAACAATAAGCCTCAGTTTAGTTTCGGCTCGCAATCGCCGTGCACAAAAACACACATGATTCGACTATCAGTTGACTATAGGCAGGACTTGACTATTCTGATTCGACTATGTAAATCCTTAATTGGGGACAGCCCTAGTACCCACTGTTGTGATTGTAATGTTATCTTGAAATGATTTGCAGTGGTCAAAAAACAAGGATTTTAACGGTGTATCATATGAGTATAAACTTAACATAGCAGTTATGGACACACAACGAAAGCTGTCATCAGTAGGGCGGCAATATGTTGGGGCTCAACAGCGCGGCATGCGGTATTATTGCATTTTTCATCAATGAAGTAATTTGGTGCCATACAGAGTAAGGGTGTCTGTATCTATCACCTCACTGCACGAGCCGCCAACAGCAGCTTTACGGTCTGAGCAAGCTAGCTGCTGCGTGCTAGTCAACAACATTGCCAAGCAAACTCCTTTTTGTAGTTTAACCATGTCTTTTTCAGACGTAGCTATATCAATACCTTCAGGGCATGTCTATCAAGTCAATTTACATACATACAACACGAGCACACAGGGAGCAGAATGGCTGTCCACAACTAAACACTGCGCTGTAGTAACGTTACAACTAAATTTCCACAGAAAGCAACATGAAAAACAGCTGCAGGCTTCCGACACACTACGCTCCGCACAACATTAGTCCAACATCGCTCAGCCTGCTAGCTACATTAGCTGCGCAATATGCTAATGCCAAGTTAGCTAACCTTTAAAATAAACAGTAAAACAACACGGCAACACTTACAGCTTCAGAGTTTGTAGTCGGGTCACGTACGGCCCATGGCGATCCATCCTTGAACCGTTACAGAGCTCGTTACGGTTGTGAAACTTTTGAAGCACTCATTTATTAATTTAACACGCCCTGAAGTGTACAGTATGAACACTGCGGTTGTTGCGGTGATTGCCATCCTCCGCAGTAGGCTTGACCAATAGCGCAATATTTCAATTTTGCGGTTATCGCGACAGCCCTAGTCATTAGGACCTCTGTCTCAAGTCTAAGTCAAGTCTCAACTTATGAATACCAAGTCAAAGTCAAGTCGAGGATTTTATCAGTTTTAGTGAAGCAAGTCTCAAGTCTTCAAATTTGCAACTCAAGTCTGACTCAAGTCACTTGACTCAAGCACCCCACCTCCGGTTCCCAAGCCAGCTAGCCAGTGGCGGCTCCTGTCAAATGTCTCGTGGGGGAAATTGTTGCGATGATGGCTAAGGTGACCAGTTCAATGGTCTAAGTCTGCTATAAGACAAGGATTGTTCCTTAGGCTGTATACGTACAGTATTTGTGAACAGCTACATCCTGAATTTCACTGTCAATGTCTACAATGAATGAACAGTCCACAGTTAAGATCAACAGAGCAAACATAGCTATTCTTAAATGTTTAATGGGGTACAGAAGAACCTAGTATTTATTTTCATTATTAACACACATTACACAAGACTAATAAGGTAAGCAGAGAGTTGTAAAAAATCATGAACTACTTGTTATCCTGTAGTTACACAGTAATATTAGGGTTGTGGGCTGTATTAAAGTATCCACTGTTCTCCCATGCTCTAATGACACAATAACAAGGAGTTATGTGCTGTTCTCCCATTCTTCCTCTGTATTTACACAAACAACAAGGCATGTAAGGGGAAATATAAAATATAATCTAAGACATGTTCTATTGTTTTTGGTTTATTTTCTGTGTTGCTTTCCTACTACTTCTACTTTTTATCCTCCTCTACAAAGATGCCAGTGATGGCCCCATCATGCTACCTCCTCCTTCTTCTGTAGTTTCTGGCAATAAAAGAAAAAAAGAAATAATTTTGACTACCAGACGGATTTCCCGTTGAGTTCTATAAAAAATTCTTTTCAAAACTGTCTCCCTTACTTCTCAGTATGTTCAATAACTCTCTCGAAAAGTCAACTTTGCCATCTTACATAGGCCCATATCACAGTTCTCCTGAAGCCAGATAAAGACCCCCTGGATTGTAGTTCTTAGACAGATTTCCTTATTAAATGTGGATGTTAAACTTTTATCTCAAGTATTGGCCTCTAGAATAGAGCATCTAATTCCAGAAGTTATCTCACAAGACCAGACGGGCTTCATTAAGAGACGTCACTCTTTCATTAATATTCGAAAACTTCTTAATGTTGTACATTCCTCTGCGTCGGAGGGTAGTCCTGAAGTGATTATCTCTCTGGACGCAGAGAAAGCATTTCATAGAGTTGTATTTGCTGTGTTAGACAAATTTGGATTCGGTCCAAAATTCACTTCCTGGATTCGCCTGCTTTATCATCAACCAAAGGCAGCTGTAGTCACAAATAAAATATGCTCACAATATTTCGACTACGGGGTCTTTCCAGGTTATAAACTAAACTTTTCTAAAAGTGTATGCTTCCCTATAAACCATATGGCAGATCAGATCATGGATACAGGCGGTGGCGGGTCCGTGGCCTGTCCTGAATTTTGAATCGATCAAGCCAGATGAAACTCATCAGTTAGCTAAACTTCAAATGTGCCTTCAGGATGTTAAAACCTGGATGACCTGTAATTTTCTAATGATAAACTCAGATAAAACTGAATTTTTTTGTTCTGGGGCAACCTCATCCCATTATTGCATGTTACTAACTCAACTTCTCCCCTTTCCAGTAGTCTTGTGCTTTCTCGTCCCTCTCCTCTCTCCTCCTATCACTTCCTGCAGGTTTTCTGGCTCTGGAGCTGTGGAGTCTGGATCTGTGGCTGCGGGTCACCTGCTGCCCCCGTGTTCCTGCTCGACACCCTCTGCTGCAACGACTATTGTTACTAGTCCTATTGTTATTATTGTTATTATAATCATTAACATCACGATTGTTATCATTAACACTACTATAAATATCTGTACCATTTTTCATTCAGTCTATAGCAACATCACCTTTACTGTCTGTACCTCTGTGTGTATATTGTGTAGGCTGCCTCCCTCCCCCTCTCTCTTTCTCTCTCCCTCTTCCTCTCTCTCTCTCTCCCTCTCTCTCCTTCACCCCAACCGGTCGAGGCAGATGGCCGCCCACCCTGAGCCATGGTTCTGCTCGAGGTTTCTGCCTCTTAAAAGGAAGTTTTTCCTTGCCTCTGTCGCCTAGTGCTGCTCTTGGTGGGGATTGTTGGGCTTCTATAAATAACATGGAGTATGGTCTAGACCTGCTCTTTTATGAAAAGCGCTGTGAGATAACTGTTGTTGTGATTTGGCGCTATATAAATAAAATTGAATTGAATTCCAGCTGCAGTGGTCTCCAACATTGAAAATGCACATGCCCCATCTACCGTACACAACCTACTCGGCTCATTGGTGTGTGTTTGCAAACTGGTGTGGCTTCAGACCAACTTCATACTCCTTGCAGGGCATCCTAGATTTCCTGTAGGGTTGCTAATCCCTGATTGGGCAGGGAGTGCAAATATAATTTCTCTCAGGTGCGAAGGCAGCCTTGACAAGGTAAACCAACGATGAAGTCTGTTAGAGAGCTCCACGTTTACTCATAGAACTGGAGTTACATCGAGTTAACTACTGATTTTTCATTATAATAACTAAAAGGGTCATTTTCCCCATCACACTGGCAGAAACGGGCTCCCATAAAAACAGAAGAAACGTGTTGTCCCGTATCAAAATCTACAACCAGGACTGCTGTTTGCTTTGAATAGTCAAACTGTGCGACTCTAATCCCAAACAGGCCAGCATTAAACTTAACTGACAGAACAGACACAGGCTATGGAAGCAGCTGACACTTGAGACAGTAAGAGCACTAGTTTGACAGCACAGGAATAATGTAGTGTAGACAACTGCCATGGTAATGTTTCTGCCAGTAAGCTGTAGCTCAGTTCCAGTGTACCACCACCCGCTACAGCAATCCAGATGTGAGCGCCCCGAGGCTCGACTCTGTGTATGGAAAGACGTCACGTCAGACTCCAGTTATAAAGTCTGTTATGGTTACAATTGCCTTGCTTGTAAGCACATAAGCTAAATGCAAAATGACATAAAAACAGAGTCAGATTTCCTACGCAGCTAGCGCTCTGTCTAAACCTCAATTAGCAGCTCAATTTGAATTTCACTTTAAAGTCTACCTCGATATTATGTTGAGAGAAATATTGACCATTCGGCGTTAAACATAAAATAATATTACATTTAAATTAAGATATTCGTGTATAGTGTGTATGCTGAATAGCAAAGCCACTCACAATAACAAGGTGTAACAAGGTGTTACTTCATGAGATATCTACTGTTGCACATGAGGAAGACCACTTAATATTGCCGACTAATTGAATGGGGTCTGGCACGACGACAACGGAACCAATAGCTTCCAAAAGCTCTCTTAGCAGGACATTCCTGTGAATTTATTTTATCCGTAGCAAAACTGCGGCCATAGATGCCATTACTATAACATTAAACCGTGCCATTAACGTTACCAGTATCGGCTGAACCAGCGATGTAACCAGACTTTCATCCCCGAAGAGGACCTGCCTCTACACCACTGCGTGTAAATGTCACTCTCGCTTATGAGACCACAAGCTCCCAGTTCAGCCATTTCTGAAGCACTCATCGGAAAAGATGCTGCTCGTGGTGGTGTCAATAGTTACGTGGTGAAATAAAAAGAAAGTCTGGTGTCTCACCTGCACTGCTGAAAATATTCTGCTTCCATTCCACAGCCTCGCAGGATGTTAAAAACCCTCGGAGGACGGGAATCTCCACGTCTAGCGGCATAAGTGAAAGCCTCTGGTTCCAGCTAGAGGGAGAAGGAGAAGCTGCTGCCTTCCGTCAGGACGGTCCCAGAGCAAAGCCGGCGATCGGTCGCTGTATTAATGAGCCAAGTCGGCGTTTCTCAATCAGAGATGAAACGTTTATTTCCACCCATGTGGTGCAAGTGGCATCAGTGAGCAGCCATGACAGATGCGCGTTGCATTGTGGGAAAACGAATCCAGACTTGCGCGGAGGTGCTGTAAGTTCATCACTGCGATGTTGCATTTACCAATAAGAGCATGTTAACTGCAGTTTATGTTGGCTCTGTTTAACTGCTCGTATTTAAATCTTAGTTATCTTACTTATTTTTAACAAGCGCAGGTATCCATTATAAAAGTCTTATAATAGCCCACTGATTATTACTATCTGACTGTCCCAGTGACAAACCTGGTATAATAAAATTCATAAAACGCATGGAAGGACTTTCTATTGCTAATAAAATAATAATCAACTTAATTCGTATATGTAGAATAAGAAAAATGTATTTTTGTTAACAATAAAAAAGTTAACATTGAAACAAGGATAGTGTCATAACACAGCTCAAGACTGGACCAAAGGAGGGAAGACCACACAAGTGTTAATTAAAAATAGGTTTATTGAACATCACTACTAAACCAACTAAAAGATCAGTTAAACTAAAGACAGACTAAACACAACAAACCAATAGGATTGACACAAGGGGTCAAATGTATAATTAATACTTGGCCTACACAAAAAAAACTATTCCCACATATTAAATGGTAACTACAAAAGAATTGTCATGGCCTTGTATGGAGTTACTTTTCTGCTAAAATTTAACAAAATATGTTTTACAAAGGTCCTAATATTCACTAACAAACACAGTGTGGTTTGCAAATACAAAACGTACCTATCTAACAAATACCTACACATGTCATACACAAAGACTGTGTCTGAAAATCATCACTCATTCACAACTCACAACTCCCTATCTAGTGAGTTCTATGTAGAGGACTATATAGTAAGCTCACCAGCAAAATGAAAATGAAGATTTCGGACACAGCATGGGTCATTCTCTCTGGGCTGTACATTACTTATTGCTGTCCCACAATTAAAACACCAGCTGGTGGACTGTTTTTCTATTAGCACAATGTATATTTGGTTTGGTTAGTGACCATCAGTTGTACTCTATTCAAAAGAGATTCTGGGATACTTTGGGTCCAAAAAAGGGTATAAAAATTCTCATTATACATTCAGACAGCACTACAAAGTGGCAAACTCACTATAACATATTGGTACTCCAAAGTCATCACATATGGACGCTTGGTCAAGACCCCTTGGTAAAGCTTTTTAACACCCTGGTTAACCCTTTAGCTTCGTCTTTTGACGTGTAGGGCTCTGAGGTTAAATTAGCAACAATAAGTGTGCAATGTCCAGTCAAGTTAGCAATAATAAATAAATAATACAAAATAAAACTATGTTGTGAAACAGAACATTGTTAACATTGTAAAACATTGTGAAAAGTCACAGTTTGGTTACATTTAGGTCACAAAACTACTTGGTAAGGTTTAGGAAAAAATAATTCACAGAGTGCTGGTAAAGGGATAAACTAAATGTGAATATGCTACATTGTAGTAGACATTGTGGCAGATTATATAGATATGATATACAGTATTATTAATAGTCTATTATTATTATTATTTGTAGTAGTAGTAGTAGTAGTAGTAGTAATAGTATATTGGTATTTTTTTATAGTTTCTGTTTTGCTAGACCCCATAATACATACACTATTTACATTAATGTTCATTAGCAGTAGTAATCAGATATTTTTAAAATGTTTTCTGTTGTTTTATACATTTAAGTCTTATTTATCAATACTGTGTGTGTGTATATATATATATATATATATATATATATATATATATATACTGCTTGGCAGTCAGCAAGTGTTGTATTGGGGGCAACACCTACACCTAGCCCGATCATTCATCCAGTGCCATTTAAGTCCTGTGTGATCTGTACACCTTCCAGGTAAGCATACATTAACAAGTCACGTATTGCCCCACTTACCCTTGGCTCGGCTCTCCCGCGCTGGCACAACCTGTCAATTCAGGTGCGGCTATCTAACTATCTAACTACATCTATTACTAGCTAATTGATGAGGGGCTGTTAGACAGCATTTGGGACACTAAACTTAGCTATACTATTACTACTACTCAATAACTACAGTGTAAGTAAAACTAGATCAGCTGACAATGAACCCCATGCTGAGTTCCACAGCAGTGAAGTTGTCCTGGTTGTGTAATGACGTTCACTCTATTAAACAAAACCTTCCTTAACACATTAAATTGAGCTCTGACAGAAATGGTGGCCATCTTGAAAATGGTCGCCATCTTGAAATTTTGAGTGGCACACACCTTTTTCCATGATAATGTTCCTTGAAGAATATTTGTACCAAATTTCATGATAGCATCACCATTTGAAAAAAAGATGTAAGGATTCAAGAAAAATGGCAGCCATCTTGAAAAATGGTTACCATCTTGAATTTTTGAGGGACAAGCACTGTTTTCCAAAAAAACATTCTGAAGAGAGTATTTTCACAAAATGTTATGCCTACATCACTGTTTGAACGATTGGCATAATGAGCATTTGACAGAAATAGCAGCCATCTTGAAAAAATGGCTGCCATATTGAATATTTGGGTGGCCAATGCCTTTTTCCCAAAAAGTGACCCTTAGATCTGTGCCAAATTTCATGCTTCTATACCAATCTGAACGATACTCTTGAAATATGCCATTAATCTGCTACACTAGTAGAGGAACTGTTGGCAAGACTATTTCCTAATGTTACTCCAACACAACGTCTCTCTCCAACTCTGACTGATGGTGTGTACCTGAAAACTGGAAGCCAAAACATCAGTGCTGGTTTGTTAAATGATGAAGGCCGTGTGAGATACAGGCAAACTTACATTTATTCATGTAGCTTTTATTGTAAAATTTATTATTTACAATTGCTATACATGCCAGAGGTTTGCACGCCTCTGGAGCAACTAGGGGCTAAGTGTCTTGCTCAGGGACACAATGGTGGATGTCTCACAGTGGGAATTGAACCCAAGTCTCCCACACCAAAGGCAAGCATCTTATCTATGGGCCATCACCACACCACCAACTTCTGGCAGGATCTGGAAAGGGGGGCAGATGCAGTGGAGGACAAGAGAGCATTTCTTTCGTAGAGCCTGTGGTGACCAGGGGCCTATACGACGAAGCAGGTTCAACATACCCAGGATATCTTTTCATTATCTGGCTTCACTAACCCTAACAAACGTGTAAGAGAAAATCGCTGACCATATGAATGTGCAAGATAACAGGCTTATAGTGGCACTGACCCATCATTAGGGCACAAGGAGATCTGACTATAGTTAAATGTATGTGTTCCATTTAACGAATGTATTGCTTAGATTTATTCTTATGGCATGTATGACCATGTTAGCCTTACTCTTTCAGCTGCAACGGTGTCTGTGTTTCCATTTAAAGACCCCAAGCAGGAAGAAGCGGTCATTCTTGTCACTTCAAAAATCTGATTTGTTTCCATTCCACTGTTCCTTTTAAATACACTCAAAAATGTTGTTCAAACATTGTTCTAAATTAACTTCATAAAGCAACGAAACAAACAATCTAGCAGTGCTCAAATATGGTGAAAGACTTGAGTTTAAGTTCCATTTACATCCAAGAGTATAAAGTGTGAGAGTGAGGGCCCGCTAGTTCAGTTGGAGCCCATTTCAAAAGCAGCCCTGGTGTTAAACAAATATACTGTAATGATACAATTACCTGCATCCTTAAAACGACGCAACTAAAATGGACTTCATGGGCATCAAATGTGCAAAAGCAGCCATGTTCAGTTGTGAAATGTGTGGCAAGTTAATAGTAAACTGCAGTAAATATAAATAAAACATTTACAGTATCAAAAGTTACTGTCAAATTCTGTAGAGAATACATATGGGTAATTTTTTACCCATGTGTGTAAAATTTATGGAGAAATACAAAAACTGTTTGTTTATACAGTAAGAAAGTAAAAATAATGGTTTGTAATGGTGGTAATCAAAACAAGATGTGATGGTGACTTGAAAATATTAAATGATGAAATAAAGTTTTTCAAAAGAGATAGCAAAAACATTTAGCCATGCAGGATTTTACATAGGGAATGAATAAGGGTCATTTTTGATCCATGTAAAAGGGGTTTGCATAGCTTGTGCATCAGAGTGTTAATAGATCACAAGAACGGCATCCTGCTCGTCAGTGTCTGTATCTAAGTCCAACCTCCTAGTTTCTCTGTCTCTTCACTTGCCATCATGACAACATTATGCAATTCCAAGTTGTACATATGTGAAGAAACCTAGAAGTAGAAACAACATTTAGGAAATGTTGTTTCTACTTTTAAACATTTCCGAGTGGCCTTTCATTGTGGCCAGCCTAAGGCACACCTGTGCAATCCCCATGCACAGGTAATCAGCATCTTGATATGCCACACCTGTGAGGTGGATGGATTGTCTCAGCAAAGGAGAAGTGCTCACTAACAGATTTTGATTTTGGCAGCGCGGTGGTGCAGTGGTTAGCACTGTCGCCTCACAGCAAGATGGTCTGCGTGGGTTCTCTCTGGGTGCTCTGGCTTCCTCCCACCATCCAAAGACATGCAGGCTAGGTTAATTGGTGTCTCTAAATTGTCCTTAGGTGTGAATGTGAGTGTGAGTGGTTGTTTGTCTGTGTGCCCCTGTGATGGACTGGCGACCTGTACAGGGTGTACTTTCGTCCAATGTCAGCTGGGATAGGCTCCAGCGCAGGATAAGCGGTTGACGACTTTTGTGTACATAGAGAAAGTCTTAGATATTTGAGTACAGGTCATGATGAATGGGGGCAGAAACAACAAACGTAATTTTGTTCAGTGTATAACGAGACACCATAATAATATGAAATAGATGTATGCAATAAAAATATTTCACATTGTAATCTTTTTCTTTTAAATTTTTTGTATGTTTGTGTGCTGCTGTATGTGACAGGCATAGTTTAAATGTGTAGTGCATCCACCTAATTGTCGCACTGCATCGAGCAGGGAGGTGACATCTGGTGTGTTGTGTGTCTGTGTTTGAGTTTATTGTCCTTTTTTGAGTGTGTGAGATGCTTGGTGGGTTTTAGTTTTGTCTGTCTACGTGTGGTGTCTCTCCTTCTCCCTCTCGCTGGTCTTTTCCTTCCTCTCCCTCAGGGCGGAGTTGTGGGCTGCATCTCCGGTAGCTGGGCGTTTCTCACCCACTGCAGGCAATCAGCGTTTCACACACCTGTCTCCTGTGATCATCAGGACTGGCTTATATACCCTGCCATCTCCTCAGTTCCCCGCTGATTTATTAAGTCTTGTTTGTAGGTAACGCTGTGACCTGCTTAACCTGCCTCCTGTTACTTCTGACCAATTTTTGACTGTATTTCCTGTGCCCTGCTTTAGCGTCTTTGGAGACCCTGCTCTGCTCTTGTGTTGCTCAGTCACGGAGAGCGCCTGGCTGGAGAATTCCCCACCACAGACTCACTTCTCTGTCAGCCCTGTTACCTGCCTTGCCACATTGAAGGAACCTTACCCCCAGCCTCGAGCTTATCAAACCATATCTTGTGTTCAATAAACCGTGTGAATATCCTTCTGAGCTGTGTTTTTGTCTGCATTTGGGTTCTGAACTAAACAAAATCCCTGACAATAATGTGCACTTAAAATAACCGTGAAATGTTGCGGTATTGACTTCAGATCTGGTTTTAGCTGATTAATAGCGCAATGGATTTCCGGTGCTTCAAAATAGCAACACACCAACAATGCACCTGAACACGCCTCCCTGTAAGACCAGGGGTTACGTACTGTAACCTGGATTCTATGAGTATAGGTTATAGCTATTGGGTTTACCCCTTCCGCATGCCTGCGCGGCCCTGAGAATTTTAGTTTACGACTTTAGACTAGTAGCGCCGAGGCCGGCGTCATCGTAGGTCGGAATGGGGGAAGCGAGGAGCCACTCGGAGACCCGTGAATGGGAAGAGTAGAGCCATCCAACTCCCGCTCTTCCGTTAACAGCAGATCGAGGGCTTTGTCCAGAGAGCAGGTGGACCGCCATACCTCCTAGGCCTGAACTACAAAGCTATCCGTCCACCGCCGGCACTCTTCGGGGGGGAGAAGGGCAATGCAAACCAAGAGTGAGCGCTCGGCTGGGTCTCTCATCTATCGCGATAGCCTCAGAGGGCGAAGCCTATACAAAATAGAACATGGGCACAGGCGGAAGATGCAGATTCAACAAGTACAGCCTCACCTGCAAGTGTGACATGCATTTAGCTTGCTTAGACATCAGTCAAACACAGCCACTAATTGCTACCACCTAGACCTAACTTTAAGTTCCTCAAACCATGTCTGTTTCTTTTGCACCTTCACAAGAATTTAACGGAAGGTGGATAGGTGTTAACCGAGGTCTGTTGCCATGGCAATCTATGCTGCATCTCTAAACTGTTCCGAGCAGGGTTTGTTCATAGTTAACTTGAGGTTATCCTGTATACGTGGACTACACACCCACATCTGTACTGTTAGTGTTAATGAAAAGTGGGCTATTATTACACACCACTTGATCAAATATGTTTAGATTTCATCCTGACTTGTTTCACTGAGGTTGCAGCTGAAATGACGTTATTCTGCATTACGTTCATACAGCGAGCCCTTCAGCCACTGTGATTTTAGAGGGGAACCAGGTAACCAAGGAAAAAAAATCCTAGATGAAATTGTCAAATTTACAAGAAGACTCTAAGGTGCATGATAGTGATTGTGGGCTAAACTCACGAATATTTCCTCACTGCTGAATCGGATTGCAAAGTCATGCGTTTCACTGCATGTAGCCTATAGGCTAACACACAGAAGACTGTGTGTGTGTGTGTGTGTGTGTGTGTGAGTGTGTGTGTGTGTGTGTGTGAGAGAGATGTTGCAGCCTTGCAAAGTTAAGTTTCTAAAGTTAAATGTGTGATTATAATGTCAGATAATCAAGTTGTTTTACTTGTAGATTACTTAATCTTGGAAATAAAATCTCTTACAATGGACCTTATGTGCAGTTGTATCTTTACATCTTAATCATATTACACATAGGCTTAATGAAGAGTCCATAGATAAAGAATTGGCCTACAACAAGAACATTGTGAAGATAATTACACATTTACTCCCTGCAATGCCAACAAGCCTCCCTGGCTTTGTTGGCCACCACAGTGTTAGATTTAGGCATTAACGTGTCTTTAAACTCTTCATATCCTGACACAATCAACGTGCATTCTTCTGGAGAAACACGGTGCATGTGCCGTTGTGAAAAACTCTCCAAACACACCCCTTTAATGCAAACAAGCACCAACTCCAATTAAGTTAACATGGGGTTAACACCAACTCAACTAACCAACATCTTATCCACCTTCATAGTACCGTTTAACTCCAGTGTAGGTGGTCAGAGTTCGTCAACCCTGAGTTTGCCTGATAACCCCGAGTTAAATGAGTAGATTGAACTCCCTTCGTAGTACAGGCCACTGTTTTGTAGTAAATCCTAAAAGGACAGACATGACTAGTTATCATTAATGGAAACAAACATCAATACACTAACCGGCCACTTGATTGGGTACACCTTGCTAGTACTGGGTTGGACCTCCTTTTGTCATCATCTGTCCCTAAGCCCTAGTATTTCCTCCGTTTTTCCCTTCCTAGTGTTTTTGTCTGTCACCTGTCTGTTTCTCCCTGTGTTGGTGTATGACTGTGGGCTTGGCATTCCCAGCCCTCCTTTCTGGGCTTGTTAACTGTACACACCTGTTGGCCATCCAGTAATCAAGACCTGCAGTATTTAACAGTGGCTCCACTCTCTATTCCTCACCAGTATGTATAAGCAGTATGCACGGCACAGCCTGCTATGGCTTTTTGATAAGTACAACTCTTTGCTTTGATTGATTTTGCTCTGTTCCTGACTCATATCTTTTCTCCCAGAGAGAGTTTCCCCAATTTGCCTGTTTGGCTTCACAGTTCCTGTCGTCCGCCTGTCTTCCACACCTGCCTGCCTGCCTGCTCTGAAGACCCCCTTGCACATTTATGTATACTTTGTCAATAAACCTCTGTTTCTGTGGCCATCAACTTCTGCGTATTTGTCTGCGTCTGGATCCTTTTTTAAAGCACCTGTCCTGACACCTTTTTTCCTTTAGATCTGCTTTAATTCTTCGTGGCATTCTTTCAACAAGGTGCTGGAAACATACCTCAGCCTTTGGTCAGCCACAGGAGTGGCACCTGGTGTGGCCTTCTGCTGCTGTAGCCCGTCTGCTTCAAGGTTAGACGTGTTGTGCGTTCAGAGATGGTATTCTGCATACCTTGGTTGTAACAAGTGGTTATTTGAGGTACTGTTGCCTTTTTCATCTGGAACCAGTCCGCCCATTCTCCTCTGACATCAACAAGGCATTTTCGTCCACACAACTGCTGCTCACTGGATATTTTCTCACTGGAAATTTGGACCATTCTCTGTAAACCCTAGAGATGGTTATGAAAATCCCAGTAGATCAGCAGTTTCTGAAATACTCAGACCAGCCCGTCTGGCACCAACAACCATGCCACCTTCAAATTCACTTAAATCCCCTTTCTTCCCCATTCTGATGCTCAGTTTGAACTTCAGCAAGTTGTCTTGACCACGTCTACATGCCTTAATGCATTGAGTTACTGCCATGTGATTGGATGATTAGCTTTTTGTGTGAACAAGCAACTGAACAGGTGTACCTAATAATAAAGTGGCCGGTGAGTGTATATCTTCTGGTAGATCATAAACAAAGACATGAATAATGTGAATAGAAACACAATTAACGCTATGATTTCTTCTGGTAAATCTGAAAAGGACAAACAGACATGACTTGCTTGCTTACCGGTAGTCCATCAAGTACAATGATTGACATCCCTCCTCGATAACTGTTCTTTGATGACTATAGAGTCCAATTCATGATCCACAAGTTTTATTGCACATTGGTCATACAAAGTCTGACCTGAGGTCCTCACCGAGACCACCATCTTGTTACGAGGGGAAAAAGGCTACCTAAAGTCATATTCTCTAGAAATCTGCTGCCATTTTTTCTGAATGTTGAAAGAGAACTTTAGGTTAAGTGAAGTCAAATCAAGAAGAGGCAATTAGGGGAGTCACGTGGGTGCAGCAACCAAGATGGCCGCCGTGTAGAGGCGGTCTCGCCCTGCACAAGTTATTTCTGAGTTTACAATGTGAAGACGCACACTTAACAGTAATTTTGTGTTCATATTTGAAAATTGCAGTGGAACAAAGGCCTGGATAAGATGGCGACGTCGAAATACTTCAGAAACCCATCTCGCACGGCTGCCCGGAAAAGCTCGCTGCAAGCGGATGAGCATACCGACGTGCTCACGGCCTTCCCAATGTCACCAGTTAGGCTTGATAAATTATTTGCAGAAATTTCGAAGATGAATGACACTCTGCAAGGTGTTGCCACAGATGTTTCGTCCATTAAACAAGCAACAGCGGAGTTGAACATGACAGTAACAGCTATGCAGGAGCGGCTGGGAGAGGCCGAGGCACGCATTGCACACCTGGAGGAGAAATCAGACCAACTATTGAACAATAAGGGGAGTAAAGATAAACTTACAGAGGCTATGTGGAACCGAATGCAGGCTCTTGAAAACCAATGCAGGCGGAATAACGTAAGACTTGTGGGAATGAAGGAGACCTTTGGTACCAACATGACGCTGTATGGCTGTGTACAACAGATTCTATCGGAGGGTCTTGGTGTTGAAATGGACGAGGAGTTGGAGATTGAAAGGGTCCACAGGCAGCCGGCACCAATGCCGAATATGGACCAGCCCCCGAGACCCGTTTTGATCCGCTTTCTAAGGCAGTCAGCGAGGGATAAGGTGGCCAGCGCAGCTAAAGAAAAGCGGGGGTTTGTGTGGGAAAAATGCCAGCTATCTGTGTTCCCAGACATGACGAGAGAGCTTTTACACCTGTGAAGCGCAAACTACACAAGCTTAATGTCAGATATTCACTGGCTTTCGCCGCAACACTGCACTTCAAATGGAGAGGAAAAAATGTGAGTTTCGACACGCCTGCAGCAGCAGAGAAATTCATCAATGAGCACGGGCAGAAGGGAACAGCGGACTGAGTTATGGGGTCAGGTGAGCGGCTGCGCATACCTACCTAATTTAAGAGTCTTTCGGTGAACTGACTATGGTGCAGGCTGACAAGAGGCTTCTTGGTCTGAAAGGTGACCATGGAAGCAACGATAATCCCACGGACCAATCTAGAGTTTTGTTTGAACTTTAGTTTTGTGGTGGTTTGTTTTTTATGTGTTTTATCTTATGTTTTTGCTAGTGAAGAGTGCTCAGCGCTTATACGCTGGCTGTATTGAGGCAGCCGGACACATTTTTTCTGCTTTTATGGGTGTGTTCATTTTGCATTATTGCTCTGCTATACTAAAACAGGAAGGTACATGGTTAAAAGTAATTATCTTAAGGAGCTTAAATATCATAACATTCTTCACAAATATGTGGATGCAGGCAAACATTGACCTGGAACGCATGCTATCTTTTCCACTTATGGAGTTGAAAAATGTCTAGTAGATTAGTTAAATTTGTTTCTTGGAACAT